CCTTTGTTTTTAAGATTCTGTGTTTGTCCTGATTTTCACTGGTGACTCTGAGATGCTTAGGTATTTCTTCTATGGCTTCTATGTGGAATTTTCTGAACCTCTTTTTGCTGACTGATGTCTTTCACCAGTTTTATCAATTTATCTCTTCAAGTCTTTTCAGCACCATTGTCTTTTTGTCCTATAAGGACTCCAGGTTTACATAGGTTGGAATATTTCATGAATCTTTCATGCTCTCATCTTTCCCCTTTCCTTCCCTCCCTCTTTCCCTCCTCCATTTTCTCCTCCTCCTTGTTTCTTCTTCTTTTGCCTTTGTGATTAAATTGGGATAAGTTCACTGCCAGATGGACTTCCACATTCATTATGTATTTTCTGTTGTATCCATTTATACTTTTAAGCCAATACTATGGTTTTGACCATTTTGTTTCTCTTCTAAAACACCTTTAAGTTCTCCCCTGAAATACTGTATTCTTTATTCTAATTTTGCTTCCAATAATACAAAATCTTTGTTAATTCTAGTTTCTGATCATGCATGGGTCCGTAGTCGTTGACTAGTTTTCATTAGTTAGTGCTTCAGCTCCTCTTCCCTCTATAGCTATCTTGTCTTCTAATGCCAGGTGGCAGACACTGTGTACAAACAAACTGGAGAGAATGAAATAGAAAATATTGATTTACTCATCAAGATCTGACCTCTCTGCTCACATCAGGAACTGAACTGAATTGGACTGAATTATAATGTTAGCTTGAATGCTCCACTGAATTCAGTAGATTTAAGTTATAAAATGTCCCTCCTTCCATTTGAGCTTGTTATGCAATTGCCATTCAACTTTTTGATTGTGTTCTGCTGTTAAGTATTGGCACAGGATTTCTAAAACACTGAGAATCTCTGCCTTCCCACCTGAACCCAATTGTCCACATGCCACTGAATACTTGTGAATGTTCTAGGGTTAAGAATTGGTCCACAGTGATGACTTGGTCTGTGTCTGGGCTTCCCTTAATCCTTTCTCTTGTAATGTCTGAAATCCGGTGTCAGGTCTGCTCTTTCATCTGATCCAAGGATTTAGTTTACTATAAATTTGACTCCTAAGTTCCCAGAAAGATGTGGATTCATATCATTTTATAACTTACATTTTTAATTTCTGTTTCCTTCTTTCAGCCAATCTCCCCCTCCCCAATTTTGGTGCTGTGTTAAAGCCAGCCATGGAATATGCTAGGCCAGAGCTCTACAGCCATGGTACATGCTAAGCCAGAGCTCTACAGCCATGGTACATGCTAGGACAGAGCTCTACTGAACTATCTCCCCAGCCCTTCTCATGATGTGAGTTACCTGGAAAGCGGGTACCTCAATTGAAGTATTGCCCACAGTTTGGCCTGTGACAATGATGTCTGAGAGGTATTTCTTAATTGCTAATTGATGCAGGTAGACAAAGTCTACTGTGAGTGGCTTCCACCCTTAGGTAGGTGGGATTAGGTTATATAAAAAAGGTAGCTGAGTAAGCCAGAGAGGGCAAGCCAGTAAGATACTTCCCCTCTTGGATCCTGCCTCTGTTTCTGCTTGAATCTCTGCCTTCTTGACTTCCCTCAGTGATGGATTTGTTACCTGCAAGTGTAAGCTGAAATAAGTCCTTTCTTTCCAAAGTTGTTTTCTTTTTTCTTTTTTGAGACAGGGTTTCTCTGCAGCTTTGGAGGCTGTCCTGGAACTCGCATTTATAGACCAGGCTGGTCTCGAACTCAGAGATCCACCTGCCTCTGCCTCCTGAGTGCTGGGATTAAAGGCATGTGCCACCAATGCCCTGCTCGAAAAGTTGCTTTTGATTGCGTTTTTTATCACAGCAACAAGAAAGCAAACTATAACAGCATTAAAAAGCTATGTTCATACTATGCTGTCTGTTTCTGCCTTTCTTAAATGTTTGTAGAGGTAATGGTTCCTGTTGTTTTTATTTTCACTTTAACATTGTTATATTTCATGTGTATGGGTGTTTTACCTTCTTCCCAGCTAACTCTAGTTTTGTGTCAAGTTGACAGGTAAAGCTAACTATGACAGGCATTTGTACCCTCATTCACTCCAGGCCAATAATTTATATGTTCTGAGTTTCCAATGGACATATTTTTTCTCATTTCCACTTCTCCCTTCAATATTCAGTTGCCAAATCCTCATTTGTTTCTTAGATTGTTCTTCCTTACTCTCCTTTCATATTAGTGCCCTCCATGAGGAAGATCCAAGACATCACAGCTTAAATATGCAGTGAAATTTGTCTCAGTAAAATCCTTTTCTTCTGTATAATTATTCATGGTGGTCAGAAAATGCAGCATCTCCCAGGACCTTATGACCTCTAGCTACCAGGACTCTGATCATGAGATGGCATTGGCACCAGAGCAAATGAGGACCATTTTCATGTAGAATTTTAAAATAGAAAGTTAATGAAAGCTACACAGGAAAGTGTCATTTCATAGGCTAGCTGTGGAAGTAGTTGAGCTCCTGGAAAAGGCCCTCCGAGAGAGCAGCAAGAAAACTTAGCAATGTTTCTTGCCAAAGCACAAACAGCCAGTCTCAAGGTACACATTACAGGGCTAAAGATCTCTTGTACAACAAGCAGTAAGGGAAAAGCACTCAATACATGCATTCTGAAAAGATAACTGGTGTCAGAGAGAGTGGATTTCTTTCTTTAAGAATAATGTTATACCTTTGAGGCCAGAGAGATGGCTCAGGTAAGAGCACTGGCTACTCTTGCAGAGGACCTGTGTTCAATTAACAACACCCATATATGGCTCATATCCATCTATAACTCCCATTCCAGGGAGTTTGATGAATGAATGAATAAATAAATAATGAAAGAATGTGTAGTTCCTATCTTGTGTGTTACCCAGAATCAGTGGACAGTCTTTGTCCTGATCCTTTACTTTTTACTTTCAGGAGCTGTTGGAGCAGTTGCATATGACCACTCTCTGTTGTAGAATAGATTTACATGAAATCCCTTTGTGTAATGCATCAGGTGGCACAGTACTTCATGGGTTCATACACCCTGTTTGGAGTATGTAATACAAAAGAAAAAAAGGATGCTAGTGTTTGGCATGGTTACTGATGTATACTAAACTTTTTATTACATGTCATCTAGGGAGTGGTTAGTATAAGTCATAAACACAAATGTAAAATGAATGTATAATTCATATTTTCTTGTTGACTTAGTATAAATGTGTCATCTTTATGAAGAACATATTTAACATCACTGTGGCTTGGGGTTTTATTGTAATTTTATTTCCAGTTGGTAGCACTTAAGATTGGACCCAGGCCTTACATAGAGATAGGTAAGTACTCTTTCACTTAGCAACTTGCCCAGTCCTTTCCATGGTGTGATGAGAAAACTCAAGTGCATATAAACTTAAGTGTTTAAAGAGAAGTAACTTACATGAGCCCACCACAAAAGTCATTATGGATCTGTCACTGTTTGTTATATTTTTATTCCACCTACTTCAAATGCATTGCTGAAAAACACTCATTGGTTTAGTACAAGGAGGGTCCTAGTTTTTATTGCTAAATCCAATGGTAAAACTAAATCACTGTTGACAGCATGGGTTCAACTTTGTTTTTAAAGCATGGCTCTAACCAGGGTAGTGATTCCATTTCTCCTCCTCCATTTAGCTCTTGCTTTCTTGTTAGAAATGCTGCTCGTGGCTAGCTAGCCAAATGAAAAGTATGGCTTGATTAAGGATCTCCTGTGTTAATAATTTGTGCCTAATGTCTTTAGCTTTCCCATGGGCTGTTGTTGAAAATGGCAAATCTGGTTTAAATGAAACCTGATCCCGTTAATGGTTTAATAGCAGCTGCCACAGGGTTATGGTGTTTTCAACAGATGTCTCTGTTACAGTTTATTCCTAACAAACTATGTTTGGATAAATATTTTGTGAAACAGTCTATGATAAGACACTTTTTCTGTCAATTTAAACCCATGCACATACAATTTTGTGAAGAAAACTAGGTATATAATATTTTAAAATGAAAAATCATTTATATCTTGCACACTTATAATTTTTTTTGTGCTGAGGAATGCACTTCACATCTACACCTAAGAACATGCCTTGGCCAATGTGAGTATCCATCCATCATTACCTACTGCTATTTGTTTGGGTCCAGTAGTGTCACTTTAGATAAACGGTAGTCACAAATCTACAGGGATTCTGTTTTCTCTTTCTTACAATTACTATTCTAATTATAATCATGAATAGGGTTAGCTTTTCTGGAATGTGATAACTTATTCAACTATTTCTACAGACAGGATTTATTCTGTCCAAAGCATCCGGATGATCCAAAAGATACAAAATAGGGACTTGATATCATGATTGTGCTGGGAGACAGAAATAGTTATGTTATTAGCCTGTCTCTGAACTATGAAGAGAGTACTTCAGGCATGCTTATTTAAAAAAAGAATAGTTCTGTGGGTTTGTGATTCTGCAGGCCAGGAAATCCAAGAGTATGGTGACATCTGGTGAAAGCTTTCTTACTGTATCACATTATGGTGGAGGCCCAATGGAAAAGGGAAAGTAACTGGTTTAAATCGTTATTCCCTTTTCACAAAGCCACTGATACTATTCTTAAGGCCCCACCCTCATGACACCATTTAATCCTATCTCCCCAATGCTCTGTGTCCATACACCATTAACACATGAATTAATGGATGAGGTTTATAGCACAGGTATATTAATGAACATATTCAACCCTCAGCAACAGCAGACATGATAACTCAAACCAACAGGAATGAAAATACAGAGTAGTGTGTTAATTGCTATGTTACAGACTTGATTCCTAAAACTTATAAAGCATGGACTCTCTGACAGAGCCACACTTAGATTGTATGGCTGCTGAAGCTAGAAGGCTTATCTGTAAATTCATCCAAGAGTAAGTGCTTAAAGGCAACAGGAGAAATACAGAACACGCTTGTACTTAAGTATGAAGTGTCTGTGCACATTTCTGGAGTGATGTTCTCCTGTCTTAATATCTTGGCCAGGTACTTCCTCAAAGGATATCAGTGAGACCTGGCTTGTCTTTTTTGTTCGAACTCTTCCTTCTCCGTGGAACATGTGCTAACAGTGACCTGGTCGTTGGCTGGGCAGCATTTCCCATGTGTGATAACAACTTCCGGATAGTGGAAGGAAAATTCAAGTGTCCCCTTCTCCGAGGAAATTATGACCAGAAACTGGACAGCTTCAGGAAAATTGAAGATTTGATTTGCCAAGATTTGGATCGGTGGCTGTGCAATCTGTATTTTCAGGTTTGCAATCTATTCATCTTGTTTATTAATTTCTTGAGACTGGATTTTTCACTTGTAGCACAGGCTGTCCTCAAACTCTTGACCCTCATATCTCAGCCTTTTGAGTGCTACATATCTGGGGTTATAGGCAATCCATATGAGCATATGACTGGAAAATGACTTGAAGTATTTTCCAAAGCCACTTCTGCCAAACCATTGGCTTTCTTTCTTGCAACTGCAAAATTTACTAAAGTTTCTTTAAAGGGGTAAAAGTAATTACATCAGATAACTGATTTCTGATCATGCACATTGATTAATACTTAGAAATAAGGAATTAACTCTCGAGTTCACGGGGAAAGTGAAAGAGAACTTAATACAGTCATGTATATTCAATATAACAGAACTCTTCCCCAAGCCTCTTGGTTCTCTGTTGTTCACAATCTGTAAGTTCACCCTCTCACCCCAGGCATGAATGATTTATTTCCTTACCAAAAGTACTGCCCAAGCTTCCCTTGTGTGTTGGGAGTTGCCTGTGATAGGATACAGAAGAGATGACGTGTGACTTCTGCCTTCTGGATGCTCATCTCTAACAAGAAAGAAAGACAAAATTCAACAGAAGTGGAGTAGCCATGAAAGCGCTGTCTCCCTTAGTCACTCCACTCCCAAGCATGCTTTTTGTCAAACTCAAATATTTAAAGCAAATAAACTTGGACATACATATTTGTATATGGTTAGCTTTCTGTGCACTGCTGAACCTAGCCTTTTAACAATGACGACAGTACATAAATTCACTGTAGGCAAATGTCATTATCCACAGAAGAAAATGGTTGCATATGTTTTCTTTTTTTTTTTTTCCAAGACAGGGTTTCTCTGTGGCATTGGAGGCTGTCCTGGAACTAGCTCTTGTAGACCCAGAGATCTGCCTGCTTCTTCCTCCTGAGTTCTGGGATTAAAGGCATGCGCCATTAATGCCCAGCTAATGGTTGCCTATGTTAAGAAGAAAGTGTACCACCTGTTTGTAGTCTATTTATTTGTTCTGTGTCTAAACTTGTTATTCTTAATTATAGCATTTTCCCAGGTTGAATATATCATCAAGTGCCATGAAGTTTTATTCTTTGTCTATACATCTGATTATCTACAGTTTTCTGTCTGTCTGCCTGCCTCTCTCTCTCTCTCTCTCTCTCTCTCTCTCTCTCTCACACACACACACACACATCTATACATCTACTTACCTATCCACCTACCTTCCTAATTGATGAAACTGATAATGATATTTCCAAGAAGTGTGCAATTTTGGCCTGAAGTTTGAGCGTTTCCTGTCATGGGAATTTTTTTTGGGGGGGGGTTACCTTTTCACTTGTGTTGAAATTATCTAGTATTTTCTTTTAGGGAATTCCCTTAGAGTGCTATGCTAAAATAGTTCTAGAGTGCTATTAAGGAAATAGTTCTAATCTAGATATGGAAACAGTGCTACCCAGAGATAAATCTGACTGTCCTTTAGATTCACTGAGAAAGAAATCCTCTCTATGCCCCAAGAATTTGAACCAATTATTTCCAGGTGGTGCTTCAAGTATTAGAGGTCACTTGCAGCTCCAAACAATCATGAACATTGATATATGCAAGCCTGAAATGGAAGAATGATACAGGAGTGTAAATAACTACAAAACCCCATAACAAAACAGCTTTACAATGTAGTCTTAAACATTATATTATACCATCAGTCAAAATAAACTGAAATTTAAAATACAGTCACAAAAGGAAGTAAATTTTATTATCGTTAATATGAAAGGCATCTGCAAGTGTCTGTGTGTGTGTGTGTGTGTGTGTGTGTGTGTGTGTGTGTGTGTGTGTGTACGTGCACGCACACATGCACACATGCTCACATTTGAGTATGGGTATTTCTTCTCTGTCTTATTTGACATGATATCTCAGTAAAACACAGAGCTTGCTCTTTTCACTAGACTGGCTGGCAGTGAGCCCTAGGACCACCTTTTTCTGCTTTCTACTCTACCCCACCCATTGCTAGGATTTCAGGCATGGGCTACTCTACTTGGCTTTTTGTGGTGCAGTAGATTCGAACCTAGGAATTCATCCATGCACCAGCCATGTCCTCACCCATGGAACCTGTGACTTTTCACTGGTTTTCTTTATTTTTTTTTCTTTCCTTTGCATCTCATTGTACAAGCTTGGGGTGGAACTCCAAGGTGTCACATATACTAGGCAACTGCACTACCACTGAGGGCTGTACCCAGCCTTTAATTTTCACATTAACTGGTATTTGTAGCTCAGTATTCCATAAATTATGGGCTGAAAAGTTGGCACTGAATTCATAAAAGACAATTTATATAGTTCTGGCATTAATCATGAAGATTATTTAGGTTGAGAGTAAGTCAAGACTTAAAATCTACAATGCAAAAAGTTGCTTATTAAACTAATTAGGCTGGAGCACAATCTACTTGTATTTGAAGACCATTTTTTTCCTCCTTTTTCATTAAATAAAACATATTGGGGGAAAAAGTAATGCTGTTACCGATAGAGCTTGTCTGGCAACTATGTATCACACAAAGATATAATTAATCACTAATTCTGCTATGTATTAGACAATGTTAGGGACTGTTGTCCTCTTTGTCACTAGCTGGGGAGGAAGTCCACTCTACTGACAAGAATAGTGGCACAGCACAGGGTATATGATTTTTGTGATTGAGAAGAAAAATAAGTGGGGATGAAGACACTTGGTCAAAAAGATGGAAACAAAAAAAAAATCCTTCTACAAAACTGTGTTTTTCTTTACATAAACTTCTATAATATTTGAATTTTTCCAGTGTGAGTTTTCTCAAGTGCAGACTGTTATGATTAGGGCTAGGGAGATGGCTCAGTTGGTAAAGCGCTTGCCTTACAAGCTCGAGGACCTAAGTTTGGATCCCTAGCACAAAACAAGACCATACCCCAAACCAACTCTCCCTTTCCACCCCCTAAATTCACTGGACAAGGCAACATGTGTAAACACCAACACTAGAAGAGGTGGGGTCAAAGACAGAGGATCCTTTCAGCCCACCTGCCAGCCATCCTTGTCATCTTCAGGATCAGTAAGTGACCCTGTCTCAAAAACTTAAGTAGAGGGGTCTGCCAAAAATGCATAATGTCAACCTCTGGCTTCCACAGGCAGGCACACACCCACCTACCATCAATCCACCAACCAACCATACAGAAATTTCTGATCTATAAAACATACAGCAAATTGCACAGAAGGGCAAAAAAAGATAATGGAAGAGAAAATATTTTTACAATTTAAGCTTAGAGAAGATTAAAAAATACAGCGAAATCCTTCCTTCCATTTTCCTTCAGGAGGAAAGTGCTAAGAAACCTTCACCCTTCATGCTTCATGCCTTCACCCTGACTTCTAGTTTTGCCCCATGTCATTAGGGGCAGTAACTGGAGCCCACTGGAGAAGGCTGGCCAGCAGCTCTAATTTAGTTCCATTGAATGTGTGCAAGGACTGAAGAGGGCAGATTGAGCAAGCAAGAAAGGCTGAACCCTTTTCCCAAGGCCCTTCCAGGTCATCAGCTTTCTCCCTGCCTCCCTCGAGTACTTTGTTATTTTAAACACGTGGTGAAAAAGTGCTCAGCGAACCCCCACCTGTTCATTCTCCACTGTGGTCAATGAATATTTGTTCATTTCATCCCAGCATGAAGTTTATTCATACAGTGTTTTCTTACAGGACATTAAAATAATAAATTAGACACAAAAACACATGACAATATTTAAAGTGATTATGGAGATTGTTTAACATTTATAATTTAACCAGATAAAATCTTTCAGAGTTTGGAAAACTGAATTTTCCTTTTAGATATCTCAAACCCCCCATTGTTCTAGAGGAAATCTAACGACACAGGTAATATTTGCAACCGTTTCCATTAACTGATTCATCTCTTAATAGGTAATTAAAACTCCTTTACATTTGGATGATCAAAAAAGCCATGAGAGCCGCAGGCAGCTTTCTCCTGACCGTCCTGTGTGCTTAATGGCAAAAGCAGAGAATGCAGAATTCAATTTGGATAATACAGCTGGCCCTTCAAAGCAAGAAGCCCAGAGAAGCACTCATGCTGCAATGGACCGTGCCACCCATTCTTCTCAGGGTTTGTTTACTTACTTTCTTCAGCATTCCAATACAGTGTTCTGAACTGTGTCTTATTGAATGAAGCTAATTAAGAAGTGTTTATTTTCTAAGAATGCATTTTATAAACTAAGCCAATGCTAAGAATATTATTTTCACATCTCCTTGTCAACTATGCAAATAAGCACAAAATTACTTCCTTGAAACACACCTAATTATTCTCCATGACCCTATTGTTTGTAAACTAGTTTTTCACCGCTGTTCCAAAGTGTGGGGTTATTTGGCTTCTTTTGGGCCTCCTGTTTACAATTTCAACTTTTTTCTATGTTTTTGAGAGTTGTAACCAAAAATGTGAGTAGAAAAGTTAAAATATTCTCAGGACAAAGTTCGCAAGTGATACAGTTTATGCCTCAAGACTTTGTGTTTCAAGATGGGTTGTATCAAATACTAGTTACATCGAGTTTTTAGACATTCAATTTTCAGAAGAACCACATTCGTAACTATCATTTGTAGTAAAATGTTAATTACCTTTGCCAAAGGTTTTAGCCATGATTTTCTGTAAATGGATCGATACTCTAACAGTAAATAATATTAGTCCACCCAACAGGATGTGTTGGAGTGGCAGCTATTACAGAACTAGAAGCCACAGTATCATGGCAAGGAGTGGCACTCATACTAATTACCAGTGGCAAACCCTATAGTGAGCATTTTCTCTGAAATTATCAAATGGTTTAATTATATGGTAAAGGAAATAACATAACATGTACTAATATTCCTTCCTCTGTTTTGGCAATTCTATTTTTCCTCTATTTCCTTTATATAATTTCTTCTATAGTTCCCCCTCCTCCTCATCTTCCATTTCCTCCTTCTCCCCCCCCCTCTCTGTGGATTTGCATGTGTGTGTGCATGCATGCATATGTGGAGGTGTGCATGTGTGTGTGTGTGTGTATGTATACATGCATGTGGTGGGTTATAGGCATATAGGCATGCACACGTGTGTGTGTGTGTGTGTGTGTGTGTGTGAGAGAGAGAGAGAGAGAGAGAGAGAGAGAGGCCAGAAATCAACATTGGGTATCTTCACTGATGACTCTCTACATTGTTGTTGTTGTTGTTTGAGACAGGGTTGCTCTGCGTAATAGCCCTGGCTGTCCTGGAACTCACAGAGATCTGTCTGCCTCTGCTTCCTGAGTTCCAGGATTAAAGGTATGTGCCACCACTGCCTGGCTTCCACCTCAATTTTTGAGTCAGAGTCTCTCCCTGATTGCACTAGACTGGCTGGTTATCAGTGAGCTCCAGACTTCCTTCTCACTCACTCAGCACTGAGATTAGAGACACCTGCCACCATGTCTAGGTTTATTTTTTAACACGGACCTTGGGAAATCAACTGAAGGGCCCAATGCTTCTGCAGTAAGTACTTTCCCATTGAGAATCCATATAACCTGAAAACACTCACTAGACATAGCCTTTTGAACCACCTACTCCCAGAGCTATCAGAAACAAAGCATTTCCTTCACAGATGTCCCAGCCTTAGCAATTCTAGTGGAGCCACAGGAAATGTATGGAGACGCTGCAATTTAAGATGTTGAAAAGAGAGATACTGTCAGAGCTCCTCCGATACTTGGAGATCATCATCCTAAGAAAAATGAAGCAATAAATAGAAAGGGAGTGATTGTGATGTCATCGAACTAAAAAGAAGAGAAAGCATGCCATTGATTTCGCTTAAACATCAAGTTCAAAGGTCAACTCTGAAGTAACTGAACACTGTAAAATATGTGCACTTGTAAAGTGTATTTCTGTTTTTTTTTGTGTGTGTGTGTGTGTGTAACTCAGTCTTTTTGTAGAATTCTTAACTTCTAACACAGTGGGTTCTGACTTAACTAATGAAATTTCATGCCACTGATAGTTTTTCCTAGTTTTAGGATACCGAGTAGATTAGAAGTAATTACTTTTGGACCATTTTTTACCAGATTATTTTTGTTTTCTCATCTTTCCTGTGGTCCCTAGATGGACCACACCATGCTATGAACTTGGATTTTAGCATGCTAGCCCCATCTTTCCTCAAAGAGGACAGGTGCACCCTGGGAAAGAAGAATGCCAACACATTCAATGTGCAAATTCAGTATGTACCAAGAGAAAGAATTTCTTATGTTTTATGTTAGAAAAACCTGATTATTATTTTGCTTTGTTCTGAGCTCAGAGACTAATGTAAGTCTCACGTTCAAGACAGAAGAGGGGCTGTCTCCTTCTGTCTCAAACAGATTTATACAAAACCAGAAACAGAAATTATTTCCTAGTACATGTCTTCTCTATTGCTTACTCTTATTTATTTTTTTCTTAGAAGCTCCTAAGCTTATTATTAGTGGTTAATATCTCCCATGGGCTTGTTTTCTATTATATCAGGGCTGTGATACAGTGTACTGCTTTTTGCCATGGATGTGTTGCTAAGAGATTTAATAATGGGTAAACAAACACAACATGTGGTAATTCATTTCAAATTAAAAGTTTATTAAACTCTGACTTGATGACTTTCTGGCTATTTACAACTAAAGGAAGGCAATGTGGGGAAATTGTAGTCGCGTGGTATGTTCATGGCTGTAAAGTTTCTGTCTGAAAAATGTGCTCATGATCTTCCACAAGCTGTCCTATACCAGTAGGCTCCATATGCAATCTGTCAAATTTGCTATACTGTCCCCAAATCATAAAGAAGTAGTCTTCATGTTCCCTTGCAAGTGTGCCTGTGTACACACCCTTTCCCAGGGGGATTTTGCACTTACTCCATAGTTGATATTTTCAGTGTCGATCAGCTTGTTACTACATGGATGCCTGGGAGCAAGAAATATTTATGAGAGGCTAGAAGAAAATATCTATGATATAACTTTTATGATTGCCATCTTTCAAGTTGTTTTACTTTTTAGGATAACTTCTAGGGAAATGGTGATTGTGTTTGACAACTTTGTTTTGTATATGGATATCTTGCAAGAACAATAGTTTGTGGCAAGGTCTGGGGATGCTTTATGATGTTGAATTCAGGAGAATTTTTAATGTACAGTCACAACAAACAAACCACACTGCTACATGCAGTGGAGTTTTCGCCAAAAGTGTCCATCTCTTGACCTCCAGAGGTTTATTTACTTGTGTCTATTGGCTCCATTATGATACAAACGTCTGTGTCTACATTGCTAGTGGGAGGGGTGTGCTCTCTCAGCATATTTTCTGTAAACAGACAGCAAAACTTCTTGGGAAGAATACAAACCCAGAGAAGAAGCAAGTACAACTGTCTAAATAGATATTTAGTTGGAAGATGAGAGAACAATTGTGAGAAATACATGGTGTCAAGGAGTCATATTTGTGCTTTGTCCCAATTGCCCCCCTCTCTCTTTTCCTGCTAACACTTCTCTGTCAATTCTTATAAATTATATCAACTAGAAGAGGAAACAAAGAACCATTGTTGATTATAATAGAGTCTTTGACATCTGAAGACGAGAATTAGGATTTTTTTTTTATTCTACAGTGCTAGAGGAACATTTAGCATTCAATAGAAATTAACTGTCCAGTAATGAATTGATATTTTCCCAGGCTAGTGATGGATAGCATGATTCTCTTCTCCTGACAGTGGACAACAATTTGGAGCCAGAACAGAAGTCAGACTCATGGTCACAAGGAGACACTACCAGACTCTATGTCTCCTAAATTCCCTTTCTACAGGATATTTTGAACTTCAGCTGGAGTTTTCAGTGCATATCCCCATCATTAGTCCTGAAGCACCTGTATTCCATGCTGTATCCCATATTGCATATGATAAGCAACTGATAGTACATAGACTTTCAGCATAATAACAGACCATCCAACCTACCTGGAATAGGAGGGTTGTCACAGTTATAAAGCATCCCTGGTGAGCATTAAATCATGTAAAAATTGAGTAGTACCAAGTCGACATTTCGTACACTACAGTTAAACAAAATTAATGAAACAGTAAATCATGTCTACCTATTTGTCTCCTGTAGAGCTGTTAATACACATCGACACCTGGACTCTGTTCAGACCTGATGACTCCAAGTCTCTAGGGTCATGTCCTTGACATGGATACTGTTAAAAATGTCAATGGATTCCAAATCAAGAAAGATGGAAGGTTTCTGGGCATGGTAGTACACACCTATAATCCCAGCATGTAGGAGGAAGAGACAGGAGGATCTGGAACTCAAAGCCAGCTTTGGTTACATAGTAAGGTTAAGGCTAGCCTGAGTTACATAAAACCTGTCTCAAAAACAAAAAGAAACTAAGCAGATGTCATCTATGTGAAGCTATTGGTAGTCCTGAGTTTCTTTATTTCCTTGAGACAGGTACGAGAGCTTGACCTTTGGTTATTCTTTAATTTTATTGTATCATGAAGACTCCTCACCAACTAACTTAAAATTTCCTTCTTTAAGAAGCCCAACTCAGTGCTGAGTGACCCCAAAGTTCTTTCTCTTCATTGTGGGCATGTATTCATTTGCATGTCTGGATGACCAGCCTCATGAGTATTGACTAAGTCTGTGGAGTCTATGCTGTGCCTGGAACAAAGCAATTGCTCAATCAAAGACTTGCCAATTGAATAAATGAATGAATTCATTTGTTAGGTAAATGTGGACTAATATATCCAAGAAAGAGATAAGACTTATTTTTATTTGATAATCACAGTCTAGGAGTAGTAGGCAAGGTAATATGGAGTCATAATCCAAAAATTGTTGAAAATCTCAGGTTGCTACCGACTATAGCGAATAGACACATGAAACAGCACGTGTCTATTTAACTCTGCAAGCAACTCCCTTTCTTCCAGAATGTCCACACTGTCCTGTGTATTCACCAGCTACACAGCAGTTTCTGTTACTCTGCATCCTCACCATGGCCCCATTTTTCTGAGAACTCATCCTAATTTGTATATAATAGCATCTTGTGACTTCCAATTTATTTTATTTCTTGAATGCTGACATCCCTAAACATCTCCACATGTACTTGTTCTTGACATACCAGTCTTAATTTGCT